CATTATACTTATTTTTTATTATTATTATTTTTTAAATATATATTTATTCTCCGTGTCTCACGCCACATCTTCTCTTGTGAATTTACACGAAACTACGGTAGCGGAAGGCATATATTTTTTTTATCCTTATATCTCGAGTAATAATAACATGCGTCACTTTGCGTAATTTCCTGAAATATGTCTTTCAATAATTCGAAATTCCTCTTTTTCTTTCTTTTTAGACCGGCTACCATAAATCATGCACGCACGATGCATAAAATCTTCACTACCTTTTATTCTCAAAAAATTCTGCCACAAATTCGAATCGAATTTTTTATTTGGATTTAATTTATTACAGTATCAAAATTAAATTTATCATAGATTCTCAAAAAATTGTTAATCGTAAATTTCACAATCAGTTAAATACTTCAAATATTTTAAAATTTCATAAATTTCTGATTTTTTAAAATAACTTGAGAGCTATAAAAATTCTTTATCAACCAATAGAAGAACAGTAGAAAAAATAAAAATCTTTGGTTCGTATTAAATATCATAACCAAAACTCTTAATTTTGTGGAGGTTGAGAAATGAAAAAAATAAAACACTGTTTCAAATTTGTGGTACAATGTCAGAAATCGATCATTCTGGCAGCTTAAGCAACCAATCACTCGTCAAATTTTTATTTTGCAAAATGTTGTATATGTACAGTTGTGATTATACCTAAATATGCATACTAAAGTTATGTATGTATGTAAAGTGTACATACCTCTCAAGGACAGTACACTATGACATAAAAAAAATTCCATGTATGTATGTATGTATATTCCCGAAAAACAGACAGTGGCCAACGTTCATGCGGCTGGACCGCAACACAAATGTCCATATTTTTTCACATCATTATCAATCCAAGTGTTCCTGCCTTCTCACTCAAACTTAAGGTTCACCTTTCTTTCGCGTTTTTTCTACATCTTTCAAAAATCCGTGCACAGCATCGATTAAAATGTATTTTTTTTTATCGTCTAATATGTTGTAAATAATTTTTTATTTTTTTCAAGTATATACAATATTGTAGCGTCTTAATTGTTGTCAGTGTGTGTACATCTATACAATTTTTAGTTGCAATTTTTTTTTTTTTTTCTATTATATTCCATTCATTATACGAAAAATGTTCACTTCGAATATCGTATGCACTCTTTTGTTATTCTAGCTTCGTATATACTATGTGTGTTTGGTAATTATTATTCAATTTTTGTTCATTGATTTGCATTGATGCACAGAGTAGAGAAGTAGCTCGAAGATACAGCCATCATCTTCTTTGTTACACCCTTTTCGCCAAAGTCTCTCGTTTAAAAAAAAAAAAAAAAAAAAAAAAAAAAAAAAAAAAAGAAGTTGTATCGNTCAGGCTGCTGGCATTATTTTTTTGAAAAAAAAAAAAAAAAAAAAAAATTAGCATCGCAAGAGCGCAAGGTGAAAAAATCAGCGATTTCATGAATTTCGTACTTTTGGGGTATATACAAGATTATTTAAAATCCACTCGCACGTAAGACATTTTTCTCGCAACATTATACATTAATGTGCAACATAGTATGCGTATGTGCAAAAATATTATATATCTTGCACCAACACTGTTGAAAAAAAAAAAAAAAAAAACAATATTAGTAAGAAAAATCGCGGTATTAAAAAGAGAAAGAGAGAGAGAGAGAGACTTTTATAGTGTTGATCTATACACACATGACTGGCTGAAAGCACGCAGAGAAGGATGGCCTCGCAAAAAAGACGACCTCCGAGTAAAAGATACAGAGAGAGAGAGAGAGACGTGTAAGGGTGTTTTTTGTGTATAGGTGTAGACACGCGATGTGGTAGTGTATACGTTGTCGTGTGTATATGCAGTATATACAGAATAGAAGAATAAGAACATCAGCAGCAGCAGCAGCAGCAGCAGCAGCAGGTAGGTACATAGGCCCGAGGGGGATTGGTTTTTCAGAGAGTGTCAATATCTCGACGTGTGGGTAAGTATACGAGGTGAGTGTGGTATACAAGTATAAGTTGGCGTGTCGGTGAGAAATGTGGGGCGTGTAGGGTGGCTCTCTACTTACAGGCTTGCCTCGGAACTCGTAATGGAGTTGAGGCTGCCGGCGGCGTCGAGGGACGCTTGCATCAGGCCCGAGCTTCGTCCGGGAGCGGACGTAGACGCCAGGAACAACGAGGCGGATGAGGCCACGGCGACGGAGCGTTGCTGCTGCTGGTACTGCGGCAAGTAGTACTGTTGGAGCTGGTGGTTCTGGGGCATCACCTCCTGCGAGCGCTGTATCGTGCTTGGCGTGCTGTTCCGCTTGCGGGGCGTCGCGTTGGCCGATGGGGTCGCGTAGGCGCTCGGGCCCAGCATCCACGCGCTGACGCTGGTGTCTGGACAAGCGGGTTCTTTTTTTTTTTTTCTTTCTTTCTTTCTTTCTTTCTTTCCGTTGTTTCTTTCAAAATCAAATGGATAGTAAAACGAAAAAGAAGGAGGGCGACGCTTCTTTTCTCATCTGTTTACAATATTGCCGGTGCATATGGTTACTGTTGCTGCTCGAGGGTATTACGTGGTGGAGGGACTTTCTCTCTTTCTCACTTTTTCGAGTTTATTCGGTGTTGGGTGCATGTCATTCTTTTTTCGCAGGGACTTTAATTTTCTTTCTTTTTTTTTCTCGTTTCCCAAGGTCTGACAAAACGAACTACATATGGATAGCGATCTGAGATCGAGATGAATGGAGAGTCGATCGTTTTACTATACATATACGTGTGTGTGGTGAAATATGTCATCGCAGCATCCATTTTCTCTGTTTTATTGAAAAATACCTTCTTTTTTGTGGCAATTTCTTGATTATACTGGTATTAAACGGTAAAAAATAGATTCACCTGGAGGACGAGAGTAATACCCTTTTGCGGTACGGGAAAATAAAATCGGTAAACTAGAAAATCTATGATTGCGAAAAAAAAATTTTTTTTTTAATCAGCCCTACTTTATTACCATTCGGTGTGAAAATACAACATAGCTCTGGAATATTGGCAGTGAAAATATTCGAAAAAAAAAAACCAAGCTTACAGTGCTCTATCAGCACTAATCTAATATCAAGTACAAAATAATGTTGGATTGTTACGTGAGATATACTTTTAACTATGAAAATTCTAAAATCTACGCTAAATTTTCTAATGATTGTAATAATTAATAATTATCAAAACGTAAATTAATAGAAAATTTAATGGTTTTATCGTGCTTAGTAAGAAAAAAAAAATGTTGTCTATTATTAAATGTACAGCATCAAACATTCTTTTGATGAGGAAAAATAAAAAAAAAAAAATTAATTATAATATTCAAGTACTGTGTGATTCGCATCTACTAAAAATGCAAGCGAATATTACCGAGCCCACGGTACAATATTCAACTTTCTCACCTGATGCGGTTAAAGTAAACAGACATACCTACTTTCGTGCGTGAATTTTATTTGGTTTTCTGTCATGTTACACGTCCTCTTACGTTTGTCAGTCGCGAAGTGTAATTTTCTGAAAAATGTTCACGTCAGTCTCTGATGAATTAGGAGGCCAAGAGATATACCATGTATACACCGTTTTCCGGATGATGTTAATGTTATATTGGCTCGTTCTTTAAAAAAAAAAAAAAAAAAAAGTTTTGTACACCCGCTAAATACGCTGTGAAAGCATTATTTGCATACATCCATGTGTCTGACATTGTTGTTGTGGTTTGTCAGTTGTTGGTGTTCTTCTTGTCAATGCTTCTATCGTCGAAGGCTCATAACATATAAATCTTGACAAATGTATGTTATGTACGTTATTTTCACGGAATTTCGAGCCACATCCACGGCAACGATCGGTCGACGATCGGCAGTGAAAAAATCGGTATCGATTCTCCAATGATAATATCCAGAGAATATCGATAAGTACTCTAAAAAAAAAAAAAAAAAAAAAGGGATTCACTCTACGAGTACAATGTATGGTCTATAGGCGGACCTGCCCCCGTCACCGCTGCCCTCGGCCTCGCCGTCGCTGCTCGCCGAGCTCGGCTGCCTGCCGCTTCGTCCGCTCGACGCGTCCGTCTGATCCGGCAGCACTTCTTCGCTCCTGTGCACCGTAAACGACGACTTGCCCTTCTTCCCGAAACCGAGTCGTCGCTTGCGCCCTTCCTCGCCCACGCATATATACCACAAACAGACACGAATTGCGCGGTTAACGCTTTTTTTCCACCTTTGGGGCCTTTTCATTTTTTTTTGGTCAAAAACTTTTTTTTTTTTTTTTTTAATTCATAGAGCATCCATCAGCTTTTCTAATCTGGTTTATGGCCTCGCTGGCCTCCGTCCGTTTCATTGTAAAAGAGATGATGATCGAATGATAAAAAAAAAAAAAATTATTTAGATGATTCGTGAGCTGTCGATTAAACATTTAGGGGAATGGATGAAAATATCCGAACGAAGACTCAAAATCAATTCCAATTTTATGTCGCACGGCATAAAATTTGTGATATAGAAAAAGTAATTAAAATACTAAAATTTCAATTAATCAATAATCGATACCGGCATCGGTCCCCCAGTAAAACTACAGGTAGTTGTACAAGGAAAGAAGAGGAAACGATCAAATTCGACACAGGGATGGGGTTCGATAAAAATTACATCTACGAACGATGCCTTGAAACTCGGTGCATACCTAATGAGACTAGCCGGCGCTCTGCAGGAACATGATAGCCGCTCTACGTCTACCGCTATATACCAGTAGCTTCATTTATATGCCGTTACATGATACAGATGTTACGTGCTAGTGATGTTCTATTTTTTTTTTTTTTTTTTTTTTTTTTCATAGATTTACAGATACATGGTAATTGATTTATTTATTTGTTTTGTTTCGTTTACTTAAATTTACTGCAACTTTTAAGCATTTATTGATTTATTGATTTATATCTGTTTCAAGCGGTATTTGGGCATTTCTCTCGTGTTAACTGCAATAACGTCGATATGGCTTATCGTTTTCTTTCTCACAATTAAGCAACACAAGGCTCGAATCTACCGAAATGGCTCACACAAAGTACCAAACGCGAACCTCCCATCGAAAATCTCGAGACGCTCGACACGTCGAAGCTTCATTTATATATTTGTTATTCGCGCGCATACATCCGCCGGCAAAAAAAGCTACATATGTGTATGGCTTGTATAGGTATAACGTGCATTGGCTCAGTTGACTTGTAAGTTAAAAGAGGCTCGCGCGACTGGCGACGCGCGAAAGAGCGTTTCAGAGCTTGAGAGAGTCGAGGGAGGCCGCGGACGAGCGACGCGACAAGCCAAGAGAAGGTGGCCCACTGACCAGGGACGTGGTGGCGAAAAGCTTGTACCAGCCGAACACCACCTCACTGAGATTCAGATTGTCCAGCATGATCTGGGCTACGCCCATGAACACTTTTTTCCCCTCCAGGCGCCCGTAGTCGCCCCACACCGTCACCTGAAAAATCACAATTTCGTTTTTTTATTTTTTCTCTTGTCAAATCAACAAGGAAGGAAGGAAGGAAGAGCCACTCCCACCTGCAGTATGCACTCTTTGATGTTTTCCCGGAATATGAGCGCCTGTTGGTACATCGGCTCCAGAGTCTTCCTCGCCACGTTAGTCTTGGCCTTGGCTATGCACTTCTTGCCCTTCACAAGGTAAACTTTGACATACGAAGCTGCACAAACAACAACGTGTCACACGGATACAAAAGCGCTTATTGAATTTGAATATAAATGAAATTTCGCCCACCTGGCAGGGTTTTTATCCCAGGTCTGGGCTGAAGCTCGCGCGCCCGTATGACCTCGACCTCGAGGTAGCCCTTGGTGTTGGACAGCGAGAGCTGGATGTCGCCGAGCGCAGGCGAGCCGAGGACCTGTCTGCCGACCAGCTGGCCGGGGCCAAGGCCACCGACGAACTCGGCCAGCTTCTCCGGCTCGTTGCCCACTGCCCCCATGCTTGGCGACCAACTGCGCACACAACTGTGAGTCGGTTAGACCATCCTTTTCACTCTGGGGCCTAACTTTTTTTATTTTTTTTTTTTATTTCGCCGTTAATAATTACAGGGTGATGAATGGTACTGTTTACTCGCNACCCCGCCAAGCGTGGTAATTCAAGTGCCCATTTTTTTTTTTTTTTTTTTTTTTTTTTTTTTTTTTTTTTTCGTGGGGATACATCAACTCGTAATTATTTTTTCCCTCTCGAGATACCGAATTGACGTAGCGTCCGTTAATTTTTAGTTTTCGGTTCAAAGAGTAAGTATGGGTGAGTAAGTAAGTAGGATGTAAAAGTATGTATCTATTAGAATCTACGTTACCGATTTTTCTCGACAATCGAGGTTTTACAAACAAACAGTACCCAAAAAAAAATAAAAAAATAAAAAAATAAAAATATACATATTCGTGCTTCGATCTTCTAATATTTATCAATTGTTTTTTTCATCACTTTATCATTTGTTGTACACATATTACCACAATCATATGAATATTCCACTACGATCCGCATGCACTTTAATATTTGTTTATCGTTATTTATTGGCATTCATCGAAAGTATATAGAGAGCAAATGAGAGCAAGAGAGTGAGAAAAAAAAAGATAATAAAAATCGAGGCTAATGGTATACATAAATTACGCAATCCACTGTATATCATGTAAGTCACACGTATCCTCGATAATACGAGCTGTTTTGACACAAAGAGTACTAAACATAAATCCACATTCGTATATGTACACGTACAGACACACACATATACACACCCACACAAATTAAAACAATCAAATGAAAATGGAGCTCGCGGTAACAGATAGAAAAAAAAAAAAAAATATAGTCACCCGTTGTTATTGTTATACAACACGGAAGACGTCCCGGTCATTTCGCGCGGTTTTTTCGAAAGAGATAAAAAAACAGCCGAAGGAAAATAAGGTCCCGAGGAATTTTAATTCTTTTTCTCCTTCCTCTCCCCGTCGTCTGGCGCTCGGCCAAATGGCAAGTATAGTTACGTATCGCTCGGAGGGCGTTACGAAATGGAAAAAAAAAAAAAATACATTATCAAGCTGCCCCGGAGAAAATGAGCGCGGGGTCCGTAAGGTGCGTCGTTGAGGCATTTTATTTATTCCTCCCCCTGTTACGTGAGATATACTTTTAACTATGAAAATTCTACGTCAGGGAGACACTCAAGTTCACCCCCAAGCCCGTCGACAAGCGCTTCGAGCTCAACTCCAATNTATATGTTCTAAACCGTTTGTTTACATGCAAGAAATGTTGCCTGATTTTGGCTAGAGGGGGCGCAACCTCTGCATCGGCTCGGAGCGAATACTTATCAAAAATAAACTTTTGGTACGCCAAGTTTATGGCATGGTTGATACCCTTGTTTTTATTTTGAAATTATTCATTCAGAAAAGTTCATAATTTGACAGCGTAATTCGAAAAAATATGCACATTTCATAGGAAAAATAAAAGGACAAAACCACGTGGTATCTGAATCACTTTATTGTCACGCGCCACATCTGGCTTTTTGGGGGTATATTCCATCACATAATATTATAATGGATGCTGCATTTCATGAAAGCATTTTACCCCTCTCGCGCACATTTCGCATTAATCTCACATGTTACTTTCGTCCATTTCAACCAACGCTTGACATTTCAAAATTTTTTTTTTCGCCATTCCCATTTTATTCTGCTGTAAACGAAAACGAATTCAAGTTTGTATGAATAATTATAGTTGTGATAAAAGAATATGTTTTAAATTAATTTTCAGGTTGCAGTAAAAGAAAATTGCCTAGGATTTATTTTAAATTAATGAAAATATTCGTAAGACAAGGTATTTTTATAAAAAAGACTGTACAGAATTGTAATTAATATCTACATTCTTTTTCGTTTACGAATGCAATGCCTTTTTCGTATTTTTAACGTCGTTACAATATCTGACGTTCGATCGGTTCCCAATTTTTATTTTTATTTTGTTTTGTTAAAGATAATTAGTATATAGGTACAAAGTCAGATATTAATTGTTTCTTTTTTTGTTATTAACATTTATAAAAAAGACTGTACAGAATTGTAATTAATATCTACATTCTTTTTCGTTTACGAATGCAATGCCTTTTTCGTATTTTTAACGTCGTTACAATATCTGACGTTCGATCGGTTCCCAATTTTTATTTTTATTTTGTTTTGTTAAAGATAATTAGTATATAGGTACAAAGTCAGATATTAATTGTTTCTTTTTTTGTTATTAACATATATTTATATGTGTGTACATACATGCGAATATGTATATATACATATATTCAAGGTCATTATTTGGCGCGTGTGTCGTATGTTTTTTATCAATGAAAGATGTGTTTTTTCGTCATGATACTTAATAAGTAGGTACTTATTATTTCGTTTTTTTAAACTTAGTTTTAATTCAGTTTTTTTTTTTGCATGTATTTTTTTTTCTTTTTTTTTTTTAATTTGTCACCTAATATGTCACGAGACATGCCTATTTACACGTTAAGTATTACATATCGGCACCGTAAAGGGTGAAAAAAATTTTTTGTTCCCCCGTTTGGATTTTGAAAGTTTTATTATTTCATATGCATGTGCAACGCAATATATACGGAACTTGTAGCCGGCACCACCTTCCATGCCTCGTTTACAACTTTTTTTTGTAAAACTATACGTTTCACTTTCTTCAAATAAAAAATAGAACGTAACTTTTATACTCGGATGGAAAAAAAAATATATATATACACTATAAACTTTACAAATACAATAATTTTTAATAATTAGTTACGTAATCAGAATCTACGTCTTTTTATGATTTAAATATATTGGCTCAAATAATCTTGCTTGTACATAATAAGAGAAAGAAAAAAAATTAAATGAAGTATAGTACAGTCTAAAAATTAAAGTATTAATTATGACATTCCTGTCCATTTAAATTACTTACAGTTTTTTATAGTTAAAGTACTGTAATTTTTTTGTTCTCGCTCTCTTTTATAAACTTATTTTCATCTATGTTCGGTGCTTGATTGATTGGCGATTTATTTCTTATTTATAAAAATTGAGCATACGAGCTATAGTAGTTCACACAAGTAGCCTCTAATATGTTACCATTTACTTAGTTACAGAACCATATTCGTTAAGCTTTTCGTCAATATATTACACATTTACTCTGCCTTCGTATTTTTTTTTGCGCGATGATCCAGCCACTCTGTCTAAAATAAAATAAAAATAAAAAAACGATTTCTTGAATTACGAACAAGTATAAGAGTTCTATAAAAATAATTTAAAAAAATAAAATGAAAGTGTTCGTAAGACTTACAAAACGGAGAATGGGTCTTTTATTATGATTACGTGATCACTATAAATACGGTGTGTATGTATACGTGCACGTGTATATGTATACTTATATTACCAGTAAAGTTCATCATCTCTTATATTTTATTCGTCCCATATTTCATGAATCAATTACAGCTTTTTTTTTAATTTTTCTTAATATCATTGCTCCAGCATCTGAATTATCAATATTTGCTTCCTTTTTTATAATAACGATAACCTACACGTCTTTATTTCTCTCGAGTAAAAAAGCTTTTTGTTTTCAAATTAATATTCTTTAATCATGCCTAGGTAGCGAGTTGAGAGATATGGTCAACTATTATAGGTATAAGAACGCATTCGAGCGAGCTGTAGTCGTACATTTTACTTTTTTTTTTTTTTTTTTTTTTTTTTTTTTTTTTTTTTTTTTTTTTTTTTTTTTTTNAAAAAAAAAAAAAAAAAAAAAAAAAAAAAAAAAAAAAAAAAAGCAACTCGCATACACACAGCTAAATACTTACCAGCCTTGTCGTCCGTGGGGGCGTCAGCATTGCTGAAGCTCCTGGCGAATTGGCCCCTCTTGGCTAGGCTGCCGTTGCGCGACCTCGACTGCCTTGACTCTCCCGGGTAATGGTCGAGCGTCGTCGAGGAGGAGGACGCGGGTGCCAGTAGCCTATCGTCGTCGTGGAGTAGTAGCTCGCCGGAGGAGGCGGCCGCGGCGGCGTGCTGTCGATGGTGGTGGTGATGATACCTGCTTGGCTTCTCGTACGAGCCACCCTGCATCATCGCGTAGTCACTGCGTTCGGGCATAGAGGACGAGCGTCGATTATTATTTGTTGCTGGTGATGATGCAGCGGAGGCTCGTCTCTCTCCTATACGTCTCTGGCCGGCTAAACGACGCTGCTCGTGTCGCTCAACGCACTCGCCAACATCATCATCATCATCATCATCATCATCATCACCACCAGCTACTCCGTGGCACAACTTCATCGTCCGATCATCTTCGTAGCTGTTGATGTTGTTCTCGTTGTTCTCGTTGTCGTTGTCGTGGTTGTTCTCGTCGTCGATTCGCCGACGAGACGGAGGCCGGCGGCGCACGCGTCCCGAGGCATCATCGACAACACGATCAGCAGCAGCGCCGCCGCCGCCGCCGCCGACGTGATTAACATCATCATCATCATCACCACCATCATCATCATCATTGTAATTCGTATGATCATCATCATCATCCACGCAGAGTCCGGGACGGATCGGTTGCATTATCGTCACGTGGTTGTGTTGGTGGTGATATTCGTGGTTATCGTGGTGTTTGTGGTATTTGGGATGGTTGGGGTCTACTATTAGCGGGGCTGACCGTGGCAATGGCTCGTGATGATCATGATAATCGTAATCGCGCATCGCCGAGCCATGATTGTGACGGTGATGATGGCGAGGGGGGACAGTTTTAGCAGTGTCGGAGGTGATCAATGACAATGTTGTGGTTATTGGTGGTGGTGGTGGTGGTGGTGGCGGTGGTGGTGTGGTTGATGTCAATTGGGAATCAAAGAGATTTGAATTATTAGCGTTACCGGGGTGCCGGGGTGCTCGCTCATAGGGCGTTGGCCTACGGTGCGACGAAGACGACGAGGTGGCAGTCTCGTACGGGCCAAAGCCGCAGTTCTCGCTGCACTGGCTCTCGCTCTCCATCGAGTACTCGTAATACTCCAACGTGTCGCTGATCGCCACGTTCCTTTTCATCTGCTGTTGGCCCATCGTCCCTTGATGCCCCTCCTCCTCCTCCTCCTCCTGGGGATGGTGCCGCCTGCTCGGCTGACGTCGGTGCTGCTGCTGTAAATCGCGAGCCTCGGGGCAACTACTGTTCCGCCTGTGGTCGTCGTCGTCGCGCCTACAACGCTGGCGAGCCGCCCGGTCCTCCATCTCGTCCCGACAATCCGGGCAGCCGTTGTTTTTTCTCCGGCTACGGTGCCTCACGCCCATGGTACCCTCCTCGGGCTCCTGGCACTCCCTGCGCCGGCGTCTCGGGTCCAACGCAGCGGGCCGCCTCTCGATCACCGTCTCCGCCGAGCCGAACGGCTGGGCCTCCTCCTCGTCCGACTGTAGCACCACCCGCACCCGCTCCTCTTGCTCGCACTGCCGCCGAGCCCGATAAAACCTCTCGACGTCCCGGCTCTCGGGGCAACTGGTGTTGCGCCTCCGGCGCTCCGCCACCGACCTCCTCCCGACCAAGCCCCCGTGCTCCTCGTCCGAGCACAATATGGGCGTAGACTCGGCGCGAACGGGCACCGAGTAGCCCCAGGTGTCGTCGAGGCACCGTTGCCGATAGCTCGACTCCGCCCCGAGGTAAGGCACGTTCTCGTAATGGGACTCGGCCGCGATAGTCGCCTCGCGCCCCCACCCCAACGCGTATCCGTCGTGTTCGCGGGATTGTCGGTGCTCTTGGTACGAGTAGTCGTTGTCCACGTAGTAATTGGCGAGACTCGCGCCCTCGGTCGTGGGGGTCCAATTGTCGTAGAGCGCGTAATCGGCCCTTGGGTACGAATCACCGCTAATTGTCGCTCGCCTCGCGTGCCCCGGCTGCCTCCGCCACCAGGACAGCTCCTCCATCTCGGCCTTGAACTCGGGCGAGCCCCCGAGGTCGTCGATGCTGCAGTAAATGTGCTCGCTCGCGTCCCCCGGCGGGCCCTCGTAGCCCCGGTTGTCGAGGCCGCGCTTCTCGAGGTCCGACAGGTAGATCTCGGTCTCGCCGCAGCTCAACTCCGAGTCGTAGCCGTACATGGGCGGCTGTCTACCACCACCACCGACAACAACGTCCTCCTGTCCCTCCTCGTCCTCGTCATCGTCGAGCCCGAGGTGACCGGGGCCGCGCAAATCCTTGCGCCTCTGTTGTCGCTTGCGAGCGTCCCTGCGCACCTTGGCCTCGCCGTTCGAGTCGTAGTACGAGCTGCTCCGGTCGCCGAGGGCGAGCAGCCTGTTGCCGTAGTCCTCGTCCCTCAGGGCCATGCTGCGCTTCATCTTATCCCGGGCCGTTTGCAGGCTGTCGTCGCTGAATATGTTGCCCGCCGAGTTGGTCGCGCACTCCTCGCAACCCGTGAAGTAAGGGGTGGGCCCGCGGGCGCGGAGGAGGGCCTCCTCCCGTTGGTGGTCCTGCCAGCGGGAGAATAGGCTGCGCCGGCGACTGGTGGCGGCGTCGCTGGCCCGGGCGACGCTGGCGAGGACGGCGCGGCTCTGGGGACTGAGGGCCCCGGGGGGCTGGTGGCTGCGGGAGCGCCGTCCGGGTGGCTCGACCAGAGGCGGGGGCGAGGCCGGTCCCGCGGCCGAGGAGGCGAGCTGGATGTCGGGGTAGCGGCGGTTCTTGGTCCGGAACTTGTCAAGGAGCCGGCGATTGAAGCGCACGCTCAGGCAGTCCTCGACGTGGTACTCGGGTATACGAGCAGCCGAGGATTTGCTGCGCCATCTGCGGGCGCTCCTTTGGTCGGTGCGCTCGGCGGCCGAGGAGGACGGCTTGAGGAGGAGGGCCTCGCTGACGGTGTACTCGCTGGTCTCGCTCGGGGCGTACCGGCGAAGGATGTTCTCGTCGACGGTGCGCGAGCGAGCGAACGGGGCCCGCATCCTCTTGCACAGCGAGCGCACGACCGCGGACTTGCTCCGTACGAGGGGATTGCGATGGCGATGAGGATTTTGATGGTGGACAGCCGATGACAGTACGGACGACGTGGGACTGATTTCGTTGTAGTTGACGGAGTTGGAGGAGGACGAACAGGACATTAGGAGCGAGGAGGAGCTGTGCAGCAGTTTATCGCTATTGCTGATGGCGGATGACTCATGATGATGTTGATTACGATGATGATGATGATGATGATGATGATGATGATGATGTTGGCAGTGGCTGTTGCTGTTCCTACTGCTCCTAGGCTTACAGGGGTTCGTACTTGGGCAATAGCATTCGCTGCAGGAGGGTACCCTAAGTCGCAGGTGCTTGCGCCTAGCGCGCCTAGGGGGCGGGGGCATCGGGGATACGACACCGGGTATAAATACGTTTTTAACCGTCGGTCTGCAAACAATTTCGTTCATATTTCAGTTACATTTTTGATTTTCTTTCTTCGCAATTACAGATTTTTTTATTTATTTTTATTATTATTATTTTTGTTGTTGTTGTTGGTTGTTTGTTGTTGTTGTTTCTGGTAATGGTGGTGATGGTGATACTTGTTCTTTCTGATGTTTGTTGCCACTGACAACTATTTAATTTCTTTTGTTTCTTTTTTTTTTTCTCTTGTCTTTGAGGATTATCATGGTGTGGTGGAGGCGGAAAGGGGTAAACGTGTACATCAGGGCGACCCATTCTGGTTTGACTAGTGACGTTACGACTGGCCGATAGATTGTCATCATTAAACGCAAAACAAATCAACGATACAATTCAATGATATTCAGAATGGGACGCTCTTGTTTTTTTTTTTTTTTTTTTTTTTTTTTTTTTTTTTTTTTTTTTTTTTTTTTTTTTTNTATTTTTTTTTTTTATTAAACAAACGAGTGTCACTGATGAATGTTCATTCAAAGTGTCAATTACACTCTTACATGTTATATTCGCCCAATTAATGGGCATTTAGTTTAAACATCTCAACTTGGTGAGAATTACAAGTTTTATTTAATTCTGGCGCTCATAATTCTTTGATCGTTTGTATTTTCGCTGGATATGTGTCTCATGCAGTTCAAAAATGGAAAGAGGATGTGTATCTCTAGGATGGGCCGTGAAAGTGAAAGTTTTATCTCTTTTCAAATAAATAGACGACCAGTTGTTTATGTTTCGTTAAAATTAATTTATGGTATCAATTATAAACAATAAATAAAACAATAACAAACCAATGAGTTTATACGAATTCGACAGAGGAATAAAGGCAGTAAATCATAATGTACGAAACGTAATATGATAAATATAATGAAAGAAGTTTTCATATAAATTTTAGGAGTAATGCAAACAGAGCCCATCCCACGTGTGTAAGTGTAACTTTTTTTTATTTTATATATATTTATGAGTGATCGCAGGTACACGTATCTTCACATCGTGCGATTTTCTTTCGATGAGAAAATTTTTTTTTCTTATAATTATTTTTTTTTATCAGTATAAAATATTGTTACAGTGGAATGATTTTTTTCATAGGTATACAATATGCTTTTTGTNTTTTTTTTTTTTTTTTTGAGCCTCAACGAATTTCGTCTCTCAGCACACCACATAAATGTTTCTAAGAACGAAATAGTAGTTGTAGTTGCAGTAGCACAATAGCTGATACTCCACAGCTCGTAGCCACTCATCCTCTATTTTCCGGCAATTGCCTTCGTTTCACTGAAACATTACACGAAAAAAAAGAAAACGTCGAACTTGAGTAAAGGTATTACATTTTTTTTTTTTTAAGAGCATAGAACTAACGCGTCAGAGCAGCGGGAGTTGAAGATAAAAACAATGACATGTCTGAGTAAAATATACACATATGTATGTTTATACTGTTTGTGAAAGCTGAGTGAGAATTCGCGTGTTTGTAAATATACAATTGCATACGTTTGAGTGAGAGAAACGACACAGCCACGCGCACACACTGATAACTTACTTACCTCCTGGCAAAAGGGTGTTTAGCGGTTGTAACAGGTCAATTATTTTGCCAACAACACATGATAATCTAGACGAATTCTGAAATCTGTTTAAGATTGTCAGCAAATGAAATTTCAAACGATTTCAGTTTTCGTACGATGTTAAAAAATGTGAGATTAATCAATGGATAACAATAACAATGTAAGTACATTTGCAATGTAGTAAAATGTGCAAGAGTGTTATGTTCAATGTAAAGTACACGTAAGACATGAATTTTTTATTCTAATTAGCAACTATAGATTTTAATAATTTGTTTGCAACGATTTGTGAGTGAAGCTAACAACATTCATCAAAGGAATTAAAAACGTTATAATAATATGAAATAATTTAATCTCGATAGCAAAAAAAGATTTTTTCGACAAGTTTGAGGAAGCGATTAGTTTGTTACAAGTAAGTAATTATATTTACAGTATGCTGATAAAGAATTTTAAACAAATTGAAAATTTCATAACAAACAACGAAAAAAATGTTTTGCATCAAACATTTAGTGTTTTTTGTGCAAGGGTTGGAAATATAGGATGTACGGAACGCTAATTACGGTGACATAATGAGCTTCAAATAACTACCAGGCAATCAAACTGAGGACCTGCTGGTATTTTTTTACTTTTTAATTTGATATACATTAAGGCATAGATATTTAATTGGAGATTAATTTGTCCATCAGAATAAAAATTGTTTTAGTTGGAAAAAAAAAATAAAANAAAAAAAATGTACAAAATCGAAGAGTATAGGTATATATTTTGGTTGTACACGAGATGAAACGAAAATCAAAGCAAATGTAAAAAAGCACAATCGAGCAAAAGTGCTCCTGAGGAGGTGAATCCACCCACGTCCGACAGGACGATAATGTATACACAAGTATAGGCGTACAATGTACGGGCGAGCTTGCAGGGCTTCTCGCGCGTATCGCTTTCTCCACACACCCCCCCCCCCCCGTCCATCTTTGTGCGCGTATACCTAGCCTTTGGTCGTGTGCGAGAGAGAGAGGCCGGGTCTCTGTTTTCGGGAATCGTAATACGACGTGGGTGATAGTATACACAATACATATGGTTTCCGCACTGCATTCGGATACGTCGTATTGTTGGACGGCGAATTCTCTCTCTCTCTTTTTGGCATAGTGTAGGCACATACACGGGTCATATACAATACACGTACGCAAAAGTTGGAACTCGCGCGTGTATTATTTTTCGGTGTCGCAGGTGTGCCCGTACGTATATTGATTGTTATCGCGTTACGCGAGCGTGTGATTCCATTGTTGCGCGATACGCGAGGGTCGGTGTACACCTACTTTGAATTCGCGCTGACTGTATTTATCTCGTTGCGCGTCTCGATCCATGACATTGGTCAACGGTAATAAGCGACGGGCGGTATATAACAACGGGTATAATGAAATTAAAAAAAAAAAAAACAATGCAAAATACATCCCAAGAGCGGATAACGCATGTTTGCTTTTTTTATAACCCACCGAAGTATATGCATTGGAGCAGTTTTCTCATTCACCCCGACACGCGCGCCCACCAAGGAATCATCACTTTTCAAAGAGCAGTTTCATCCCACGATCGGACGTTAAAGCACCGGTAATGAAAAAACACACGGTGGAATTGGTCGTTAAAGACACCCGTTAAAACTGATGTGAGAAATGAATAACAACAACAGTCTCCTCGTCCGAGAAAAGCCTCGGCAATGAAATTATACGCGATCCCACGGAGCACCGCAGTATACGTATCCGAGGCCCGGGATGGGTACAATATATTTATATAATATGTACGTCACTTTTGTGCGCGTGCATGGACACTTTTTCCTTGTATAACGAACAAACGCGCGTACACAGGGCGGTTGGTTATTAATTGCGAGTAGTAGGCGTCACGCGACTTTCAACGAGTGGTGATAAAAAAGACTTGTTTTAATCTTAATAATGATGTATTGAAAAAAAAAAGGGGGTCACATCTTTTTTTTCATCAATAAACTGCTACGTCGCATCCATCCACCTGGTCGAGGTAAAAAAAAAAAACCGGAGCTCCTTTGCCAGCGGTGGTTTCGGGAGGTGACGGCCGTAAACTCCTCGGGCACGTGGAACTCTCGAATTTCCCAGCTGTAGCATTGTCAACTCGACGCCTACCCTGTCGTTGTGAAATCTTGTGATGTCCGGCTTTCCTCGGCTGTATATTTTTAGAGCCAACGTTCATCCCCCCACCGACTCTGGGTGTAGCTCATTAGCGAAACGTATATGGATGGAATTTTTTTTATAGGTGCCTCGGGGACGTGTACCGAATGCCGTAAAAATCCATCGGCAATCCGGTCACGCGAGACAAGCGTTTATTCCCATTCGATGTTTTTATTGATGAGCGCGGCAAAGAGAAGGAATTTCGTTGGAGGTCGGTTTGGCGCGGGTCGTGAAAATCCCCGCCGAGCTTTGTACAACGGCCGAGTCGTCCCGCTGATCGCCATTTAACTGCCTGTAAATATTGGTCACCCGCTTCGTGGACGCGAATCTTTTTTTTTTTTTTTTTTTTTTTTTTTTCTTTTTGTAACCCTGTGTATATACTTGGAAGAAAGAAAGAAAAAAAAAAAAACGAAATCCTGATTAAACGGACATCGCGCGTGCAGCGGTGCATTTGGGATGTGCAGCTATAATCGACGCTATACGTATCTACGACTACACAGGTGACCAAGGGTCGGCGAAGAGGCAGGGCTGGGGTGGAATGGGTCAAGCAGTATTTTTGATAAGTGCAGGCAGAGGGCAACAACTATGCCAACTACTTATCTAATAAGGGGAAACGACGCATTTTACGGGGCTCAATGTCCATTTAATCGTGAGATTTCTTTTTGCCCCCAATTTTTTTTTTTTTTTTTTTTCTTCTTCCATTATTCGATGAAAAGCAAGCTCGAGTGACTTTTTTTTTTTTTTTCTTTCCCCCTTTCGCTAACTCATTAACGCAAAAAATTATCGTACAAGTCCGAGAGCTTGCTTTTTTTCCTCTTTTCGTCATCGTTGACGTGCAATATTGTATATTATATCTAGGGGGAAAATGAGTGGGACCGACCGCGACGTACACACACGCACACACACGCGTGTGCACACATTGACATGTTGTGTACCCACGCGTATGTATAACGCGATCGAGGGTAATATATACGGACGAGTATTGGAGAATAAGATCGAGAGGTTCGGCGCAGCGGATACTCACATCATGCCCCTGGAGCCCCTCGGCCTCTCGGACTGGGTGCTGAAGGCACTGCTCGTGACCGAGGCTATGCTCTCCATGTCCGAGTCGCCCAAGTCGGCCAGCACGTCCTTTTCGGGGCTGAGGTGGCCGCGCCGCGATCTGTGGTGATTGCCGAACCTGTGTGGGTGGTGGCCACCGTACGAGTTCGAGTGCGTGTCGTAGTAGTGGCTCATCGAGGTCAGGTCGGAATCCGACATGCCGCTCACTCGCCTGTCGTACACTGGACGGGGCGAACAACAACATCGTTATTAATGATCATCGTTCCGAGAGAGAGAGAGAGTCGCGAGCACTGCGATTTCGCATGCACTCACTTCCCATGCCCCGGCCGCCGTAGTAATTGTGCATCGGCCGGTGGTTGCGGTGCCTCAGGAACCTCGTGCCGTCAAAGTCAGGGATCGCGCGCTCCTTGAGGGCGGCGTGCAGGTTGCCCGGTATCTGCGGCAGCTGGCGCTTCTTCGGCGAACCCGTTGGCGTCGCCGTTGCCGATCTCGAGCCGAACCTGCAAAAATCATCCCCCCCACTTTAATTCCCCTCTGTTCGACACCTCTTGTATATACACTACACGTATAATGTATACACACGAATACATGTATGTATACGTATCGAATGAAATGGGGTGCGTGGATACAAGCGCAGATTGGACCATAGCAGCAGTTTGTTTCTTTGCGCGCAAAACAACCGCAGCCGTAATGGACCGGACATGAGTTTCGAGATATACTTTGATGTATTGGTGCGGGCATATATTATGTAATACCTATATGTGTATTCGCAAGCGTGCAGTTGATGGAGAGAGAGAGACGCGCGTGAGATCTATAATTTTATGCTTACTATGGTTTACGATATTATGTACATTGTTAAAAAACTAGACGAGCGATGTGAAAAAACAAAAACAAAAAAAAAAAAATCATGACAAAGGTGATAAAAGAGAGAGAGAGAACAGGGGATTTGGATGTACAGGTAAGAACGGTACAAACAATATTGTTTTTGATCTCGTGACCGTGTGGCGCTTTTCAATTACAATCATCGTAGTGCATATAACCATCAATCTGTCCTTCTCGTTAATCATCTCGTTACAGCTATTCGATGTGTATATGTATATATGTACAACAGTAACAACAACGACGACACCACGAGACACATCGGGGGTGGGGGTATTAGGTATACATAGGTGGGGGGTTATCAAACCTCGCCGGCATGGCGTATCCGGATGAGTAGGGTATGGATCTGTGGTCCGGGGGCGAGAGCGAGCGATGGCCCGTGGGACTCTGCGACCTGCCCCTGTAGCAGAGGCTCGGTGAGTCCATTGGCGCGGCGCTGTGGGACCTGTGGCTCAGCATCCCTGCGCCGCGATGCGACTCGTCCTGAAACACACATACGTATTCATATAAAAATCCCGCGTGGGCAGGTATATTATTTTACGCTCGTTGGTTGTATACCACGTTACTCTTGATAACAACTTTTTCTTATTTCTACCCGCGTTTTCCCCTGCACTCGGTCGACGAGCGCCGAGTTACGATTGCCCCGGAAAAGTTGGAGAGCCAGCTGCTCTCGAATACACATCGCTTGCAAGTTCTCCTCCTTCGTTGATATTGCTTTACGCGTGATTTTTTTTCAAGTTTATACGCTCGTCTGACCGAACGTTGATTTTTCTACTGATTATATCCTTCCCGAAAAGTTCATTGCGCCCCAAACGGGGCGATTATCGTAGTTTTCCCGAGCAACCCCATCATCGATCCCGGTGGAGGATAATTAAACTCGAAATAAGCGCGGTGGGTGGGGAAAGAAAAAGATAAAACTGAAACAGAGGTGCATGTACTCACGGAGAACTGTCGGAAATTGACCTTCCGGTACTGCTGGTAGCCAGAGAGGGAGGCCGCCTGTTCGCGCGAGCTCATGAGGGCCGCTCGCTTCCGGCCCTGGGGCGACATGTCCCTGCGGCTGCGGTGCTCCCCGACGCACAGCTCCTTCTCCGGCGGTGGGCTGGAATAGTGGCTGCTCACCCCGCCAAGCGTGGTAATTCAAGTGCCCATTTTTTTTTTTTTTTGTTTTTGTTTTATTTTTTTAAATCACCAGTTATTACGTTTGGACACACACGATACAGCCCGTGCGCACACACGGTATACGCACGTTTTTGGGGGATATTTTTCGTTTGGTTTGGTTTGATCGAGGGAGGGGGTGGGGGGAGGTTGGTGAATAGCGGTCGCGTGATTTTGCCCGGGCGAGGGTGGATTTTCATGGCTTTTAAATTTCGACGGAGGAGACGTGCCATTTGATTGTCGTCCAACGCTCGCCCGAACAGTACTTTGATTTCTCGTGATTCTTGATTGCAGCATATGTAAAAAGTACAAGTGAGTTGTGACAAAAATCTCGACGATCGAAACAATGTACGCAAATACCTTACTTTGTGTGCAATGATATTAATCGAAGCTTCGAGTGCGGAGATTTTTTTTTTTTTTTTTTTCACAAACACAAGCGACGATGTCGCACTGGCCATTCGTTATCAATCGCGTGTACGAGCCAACGCGACATCGGCACTTGGATTATATATATGTTCGCGCGTGCGTTTCAGCGTAGCCTCTACGCGCGTGTTAATGCATTCGCCTTTTGAATTTTGTCTAAGAAGCGCTGTAGCTTTTTTTTTCTAGAGCCACTAAATTTTGTTGATTGCACGAGCTGCATGATAAGCGATTGCATATAGCGAGATACTTGATGAGTAAAAAAAAAAAAAATCATCTACTTCTCTTTTATACATACTTTTGATTTTTGACATTACTTATTATTGTGTACAACACTAACCTTCGTAAGCTCGTAAACTCGTGTGAAATGTGGTGTTTGTAAGTGTGATTTTTTTTTTTTAATTTTACTCGGTTACTGTGTATACTGGTTCTGTGCTACGCTCACTAAATAAGACCTAATGTAGCAGAACGAAAAAAGAAAAAAAAAAGAACTAGTCAAATTTAATAATAATAACAAAAGTACATGACTACTTTGTGATGGTTTGGAAAGTATAATTGAATAAGTAATAATAATCGTACCGCTTATAATTTGGCGGCATATTATGAAACCTAAAAAATAAATGAAAAAAGCACAGAGTTAAAACGAAATCAAAAAACATCCGTGTAAGATTTATTTTCTTTTTCTTTCTTTGTTATTTTTTTTCTTCTTTTTATTTTCAATACACAAAGGGCGGTGTAAAAATAAAATCGAAGGTCCGTTGCAACAATTATAGAAGAAGGGAATAAAAAAAAAAAATAATAAATAATCAATACTCTTTGGTGTAAAAATTGATAAGGGTTACGAGTAATTTTCCACCGACACTTTTAGAACGTCAAAGTGATTGCTTTACAAAATTTTGCTAGCAGAGTTTTCTCCTACACGGGAATAAGTGCATCATCCCTTTCCGAGTTGCGACACACAAGTAAACTAACAGAGGCACCAGCGGCGCGTTTTCTAAAATTATCGAAAAATATCAGCAATCGCATTAAAAAAACTTGTCGCTCCAACAAACCAAGCACGATACAAAGAAGCAAAGTAGGAGCAAAAAAAAAAAAATAAATAAATAAAATGATTTAGCGAAG